TGTATACACTGCGTATACACTGGAAAAACGAATTGCAATCTGATATTCTCTTCAGTAAGAATTCAACATTGGCTATACTTTGCATTCCTTCCTCTCAGAATTTCCATTCGACTTCTGAGTTGTCCTCCTTATTCTGCATTGTTTTTAACTACAAACAAAGCATCCATAAGTGTGATTTGCTGCCGAACTTTGTGTTCGCTGAAACACTGGGGTTTGAAGTACCGCTACACCAGTGTGTAATTCGTTCTATCCTGGGAGGAAATAATCTATAACCTTGGGTACTAGGAGGGGATTAAATTCCTTAAGGAAACACTGTGAATTCAGTGGACTCGAATTAATTTCTGTTTTTTATTTATATTTACGTTTATAAGCTAACGTTCTAATTTCCAGAATCATTATTTACAAGTACATAAGAACAACAATTGTTTGAATTCTTCACTTGAAAAAAAAATGTCGATACGTCAATGTCCAAGATTCCAACGTATGAAAGTTGTTTCCTACTTATGGAAACCTTAAGTAGTGAAAAATGGTCTCGTTTCACTACGAACACTCAAAGGTGTAATATAGTGGCCAATTATGTAAAATAAAATTATGAAACACCATAGTTCAAATTCTAACTGATATTTTTCTTTATCTGTCTAAATTTTGAGAGATTATCTTTTCTATCAATTCTGCACAAATCCATATATATAGGCATGTATTGCTCCCCCATTTTGTGGCAGCTTGCAATTTCAGTGAATATTTTATCTGAAATAATACTACTATGTGATTAAGTTGGTCAACATCTTTCTAGACCTTAGTACATTTTTTACCAAGTCATTAAATAAAAATCTTACGAGAAAATGATCCCAAAATTCTTGTAATTTCTTTGTCTGTTGTACATTTTTTTAAGAAACCTGGGGCGGCCAAGCCTGACTAGTGCTGCAATTGCAGCCATACATTAGCTCATTTCACATCATTTCAACTCACTTCCAACCACAACACTTTCCTAACATCACTCCATCACTCCCAACTTATTAAAATGCTCACAACATACAATACGTAGACATTAAGAGTTCATGTATTAGTTTTGGTGTTATTAATCCTTTGTTTGGTGGTGTATTACTTATACAGTACTATTTTTATTAAGAGCAAATCATGATATTAGTAATACCATAGTTTTTAATACATGAATAAGTATGCATAAAGACAAAATTGCTCTCCACAAACCTTTTCCAACACCTTTTATTCCAACACATGTGAAGGGTATTTTTGTAAAGAAATAATTTCTTAAAAAGATTATGCAATACATATTATTTTTAATACACTAAACCAAACAATTAAGAAATAATCCTAGTATAACTAATCTCAGCATTACTAATCTCAGCACTATTAATACACACTATTCAGTACTCTTCTTATACACCCTACCAAACGACCCCTACAAGTAGAGGCGGATACAGTGGATCTGTACCAGGTTCGGGTTCATTTGAACCACAATGCAGAGCATAAATTTAAGTGTAAGAATCTACTAAAATTACAACATATAATAGATATGAACCTACGACTTTAAAAATACATCAGATCACTACAAGGAACCTTAAAGATTGAACTCATATAACTTAAACTATATCCGCCTAGCACGTAAAAGTTATTGATTTTAGGGGCGTAACAAAAGAGAAGGGAAGTCTCGGTCAATAGTGCTGGCAATGGAGATAGAGTTCAACTTTAAAATGGGAATTTACAACTGATACTATCATCCCCAACTAATTAATCAGTCAATACAGGAACTAGGACGTTCAAGGTATACAGGGAAACCAAGAACTTATGCAACAAAACTTGAACTATAAGAAGAAAAAAAAAACAAATAATTGCGCTATCAGAATACAAAACATGCTACTCTTCTCTGAACACTCCCCACAGATAATGCTTTCCTTGAAATCCTGCAAAGCAATTAATTCAGTAAAACCAAAAGTTGGAAATGAGTAATAACTCTTCATAAATAGAAGTGACTCACTCCAGTGACGCCGAGGCAGGTCCATAGAAGTGAAAACCAAGAGCTCAGCATTTTTCACAACGGTTCTCATGGCAAGTCTTTGATGAATCATCTCATCAACCAGGTCATCAAATTTCGCGACGTCTCTGGAGTAACAAAGTTGAATATTAGACTTAACTTTGATACGATCGAGTTATAAGAGAAGATGGTAAAAGACTGACCTTGCATCTTTTGGGAAAAAATATAGGGCAATAATATCATCGCTTGGTTCTGATCTCAGAAAATTCTTAGGCCAAACAATGGATTTTGGGACAATTTCTAGCTGAAGTGTTGAGGGAAAGAAACATGCTTCGTCATACACCTTTTTGCATGCTCTACTTGATATGCGAGCTACAATTCCATCCAATGTACCATGATCGCCATTTAGTATGTTAAAACTTCCACTGCAAGTAGATTAAGACGATAAACGTGAGTCTAGAAAGGTCAGACTCTTGTATAGGTGTTCAGCACCATCATAGGCTCTGCCAAAATTCTTCCGATCTACCTTTTGTCCATACATTTTGTTTTAAAAATTTGAAACAATATTTGGTATGGAATTTGAAGTTTGAAAAACATGTTTTAGGAGTTTTTCAAGTTGCACTCACAAAACTTTAGCTGTGTTTTCGTGTCTAAACACAACAACTTCCAAATATCCTTTTTCAACTTAACTTCATAATATTACCTTTTTTCTCAAATATCAACCAATTCATGTCCAAATGCCTAAATTTATCCCATTAATGTTAATGTACCCTCTATCCCAATCAAATAACAACTTTTTTTTCTTTTTAAGTCGAGCAAGAACAATGTCTAACTTCCTGAAGAGCATATACAAAAGATTCATATCCCCGTTTCCTACCCCCTTTTAAACAATTATGGCCACAAAAATAAGTACGGTAGCTTCAGTTAATTAATTGAAAGTTCAAATATTTTTACTCCATTCCTTTGGTTTTGTTATTTTCTTCAATTTTTTCTTTCAGACCAGTAATCAAACACAAAAATTGTGATTGCAAATGCAGAAAATGTAACTCTAACCTCCATGTAGGATTAATTACTGGCTCGGCACATTGATGAGATTCCGGCAATAAAGCATATTGCAGATAATCCGTGGTTGATTGATGAACATCTCCAGAAAAAATGTTACTGCAGTTTCCTTGGTACTTATTTCCTCCAAGATTTAATTTTCCACCATGGTTGCTTTGGGAAATGTTCATAATTCCATTCTTCATGTCTGTGCAATCAGTCACTAAAAGTGAGAGATCAGTTGAAAGAGTAACGTTTCTGTTCTATACAAATTCTAGATTGGACAAAATCACAATTAAGTTATATTAGATTGCTCTGTCGGGCAGGGTTTTGTGGCACAACACGGACGCAATGGATGATTTTGATGTTTATGCGCTTCCTTGTTTGCCCATGCTTGAATAAATAAAAAAACTTAGACCTTACAACACTGCTTAAATGAAATACCTTTGTTTACATCAAGCGGAGAGCCGTAATCCACGACATCAGACAAGCCAGTCAGAGGTTTCAGCTCCTTAGCTGGATTTATTTCAAGAATATCTTCCATTGCTTCATGGATACACTCATCTCCTAGAGTAGGGTTTACCTTTCTTTTCAATTTTGGTCCCACATTTGCTTCAACACCGCTAGACGAGAACAAATTTGATCTGATACCAGCACATTCTTGACATTCCCGTGACTTACAATCCTCACAAACCCAATGAATGAAGTTGAAACTTCTTGGCAACTTATCCAGGCAGTAGCTAAGGGCAAAGAAATAACAGGAAAATAAGTTCAAACATTGTGTCTAAACTATCTTCACTTAGACTTGGTAAAGTTAACGCTTACACAGAAACCAAAAGGTTAGCTAGAAAGTACTTGGTGAAAACCACTATTTTTTGGTTAAGTTACTCCAATGATAGTCCATAACAACCAAAAATCATCTTGGACCTCAATAAAGAGTAAGCTTTAAAGTTTGTTTGAAGTCAATTTCTCATTTTGTTCTATCAATAATAGAAGCGTATACACTAAAAAAGTTTCTGCTCCCCTTTAATTGAGGGTATAAAAAGCCAAACAAGTTGTTTCATAAATGATATCTTATTTGATTAACAAGTAGTAATAGTTCTGACATGCAAGTTATAAAAAAAAAAAAAGGACAGCCCAGTGCACGAAACATTGCATTCAGGTAGGGTCGGGGAAGAGCCGCACTTCAAGGAGGTGTAATATAGGCAGTATACCCTAATGCAAGCATCAATGGCTGATTTCACGGCTCAAACCCGTGACCTATTGGTCACACGGAGACAACTTTATTGTTGCTCAAGTCTCCCCTTCATGCAAGCTATACTTCATATATTATAAGAAAATAAATTATCACATGGGGGTCCGTGTTGGAACCAAATAAACAAAACAGAAGAAAAGGCTAGAACGGCATCCAACACTACATCTCTAGAAGTAAATCAACTTTTCTAATATCATTCTCTCCGTTCTCTTTACTTTTTTCGGAGGATCACCAATGCTGACCAACTTACCAATGCACTGCAGTGTGTAAACATTGAACGCAATAAACCAGGGCATCATAGAATCCTCTGTCACCACACTGCAAGCATACATTCATCCGAAAGAATGTAGAACAAGTAGTTATGAAGTACCTACCAAATAATACATCATACCTACTAAATAATGTACATTATACTAATTTGCTCAGTATGACTCGTCAGAACCCTTATTTCCAAAGAAATGAAAGTGGTGATATGGGAATGATCAACTATTTTTCATACAAATGACTATCACAATACAAACTCAGAGCTAACAATAGTTCTCACCTAGTTTGAAGTAATTATCCAGAAACAATGTATTCTCCAATCCAGACATCCTGGCAAGGTTATGGCAGACAGACGTATAGCAAGTATGAGATAATTTCCTATTTTTCTTCCTTACACTATCGAGACTTGAAATGTGAATTAAATCTGAAACTGCCTAGATCGACCTGAGTGTAAGCTTGCGGAATACGATTCTTGCACCCTTTTTAATTTTTTAATTAAAAGGAATTTGAACAGGATGATCCAACTAAAGGAAAGATATACTAATCAAAAAGTAGGTGATAGTAAAACATACCAAGTTAAATCATTGTATCAGCCCTCACATTACTGACAAGAAAAAGCTAGTTAAGAGATTTTTATTAATAAAATTAAAAAGTAATAAAGTGCAACCCATCATTCTCAGAGTTCTAGAATGCCATGTAAACAAGAAGAAACACAAGAACTATTTGGCGCACATACATATTCGAGTTTCCAAGTTTTTTATGTGAAAAAGTTTCTGACCGCATGAATCCAAAAGTTTGAATTGTCACTACTGTAAAATCAAACTGCACCTTTTCATTCTGATTTCCACGGATTTCACCATTTCTAGATATCATGCCAGAGTCAGATCTTGATGCAGTTGGCCCCAAATAAGACGATTTGGAGGAGTCTTGTAATATGTTGTACTTCTGGAGGTTGGACTTCATACAAGAACTACATACTTTTTTTGCCTCTTCATGATTGGGAAGAGCACCTTCATGTCCATTTTTAAGTGCACTCAGCTCGTGTTTACTGCCTATTGCTGGCTCCTGTTTACTGCCTTTTGTTGCAGGAAGCTTATTCACGGTCTTATTAGTAATGTATATCGCAATGCCATCATTGAGTTCATTATCACACCTTTTCTGTCCTACAGGGGTCTCTAATACATTTTCAAGGACAGAGTCTCCATTACTTCTTCCTCTCTGCAATTAGCCCGACCATATATAATCGGCAAAATACAAAATTGGCTGCTCGGCCGAAACTAGTTGCATCTGCTAGCTAAAAGTGTATAAAATATGTGTTTTTTGTATATAATACACATACATACAAAAAAAATATATTTTGTTGTCTATTATTTTTGGGAGCGGCTAATAATATACATTTCTCGATATAATCCACACTAAATAGGTCAAGAGATCAATCCTTTTACTTTTGCAGTGAATAACAACAGAACCACAACTCAAAATATATAAATTAAATAAGGGGCTAAACAACTTTACCACCTCAAGAATGAAGAGCACCACAAGACACAAATAGATCTCCTCAAACAAATAGTAATTTTAATACCAACTTACTACAATACGACCATCCCCGCTTAGGATTTCAACTATGTACTTACCCTCATTATTTTAAAAGATAATTTCTAAAGCTCTTATCAATTTGCAAATGATATAGCTTACAGAAACCTTAATGCCCATAATATTAATCCATTATCTCTCCTTGTCACCTGCCATGTACATTTTCTAATGAACTAATTAATAAAAGACATGTATTTATATTAGTTCTTAGAGTTCATTTTTAGATACTAATATATCCTTGGGACAGCAATCTCAAAGGCATGAGTAGCAGTTCCTGAACTAGTATCATTCTGTTAAGAGCTTAGTATCAAGGTATACCCATAATAATGGTGCGACATGGAGAAATGAGAACAAATAACAGCTTGTAAGGCCGAAATGGCAGAAGACACAAACTTCAAATAAATGAGTCTATCGTAATGATCAAACTTTCTTTCCAATTGCTTAACTAACTAAGCCATTTTTTTGCCTATTGACAAGAGATTCTTGTTTTAGCCTTCTCATATATGGAATTTCCCTTATTTCTTCCGGTACTTCATAATGGAATTTAGACCATCTCCAGTTTGTATCTTAAAATCTCGTTTCACTTATATTTCAGGTATGACCTCACCTACTTGTACACCTTCTCAACTTGCTCGAAATCTCCTCCATAATTCAGGTTTCTTGGTCTTATTTTTATTCTCCCCTTCAAGGAGAAAAAAAGAAAAAGTAGAGAGAACAGAATTCCTAACACTTCGAACTTACCCATGAGTAGCAACATTCTTGCTCTCAATGCAGTAACCAGAGATGCTAGAACATCCTTTCTCACCGGAATGCACATCGATTGTCATCTACAAATATTTTCACATAGCATTGCAATTAGATGTTGACAATTGATATAAAAGAAGATTAACTAAACTGTCAATACCCAGATCACTTCACATTGCAATCAAGTATATCATCCTCAAAGCCGTGAAGAAAACTCGCTTCACACATAACAACAGTGCTAACCGTTAGACAACGTGAAGATCAAACAAATGAACAAAGTTTTCTGGTTAAAACTGAGATGTTTTACATGGATGAGTTAGGATCACATCCTATCTAGCCAAAATGTGGTTCTATAACATGACGACATGACTCAAATTTCAAACACCAGAGTGAGTACGAGAAACATGTTAAATAGAAACGTGTCTGATTTCTCAAATTCCGGTTCTATAAATAACTCTAGGAAGAGGATATAAATATAAGAAAAAGAATTAAAGAAATGCATGCATTTCCCTGAGATAGCTATCACCTCTATCATTAAAAGAGATGAACAGGGTAAAAGAGAGCCCAATCTATGCCAACTCTTGATAATGAAAAAGCAGAAGAATGTGAAGAAAAATATAACAAAATCACTACCATGTCGATATCATTGAAATATTTGGCTGATTTATTGTCAAATAAAGGAATCAAAATTGTCATATTCTACTTAATTAGAATGTCTTCATGAAGTTGTTCATTCTTAACCATCGTTGTTGCATTCTTAACTATGATACTCCAAGTTGCAAAAGACAACAGTGGAAACAACCACATTGCTACTAGTTAACATCAAGCTCAAGATTGAATTCCTTTCCTTTTGTCTAAGTTACAGCCTGATATTCATAGATGTTAAGATCTTGAGATATAATGTCTAGAAAACAATGCTAAAGCCAAGTGCTCAAACTAACAAAAACATGGATAAATGCACCCAAATTTAGATCTTAGGTCAGAATTTAAGTTGGCAATATTCAAGGGAACAAAACAAACAACAGTAAAGTCCTTACAACCTAGATTATTTAAAATAACTTAAAGCTCATGGTGATACATATTCCTACATTTTAGTATGACACCAAATCAATGAAGCAGAAATAAAAGACACAACATAGTAGTTCAAACATGTTATTTTTTTCATGAAACACTATTAACGGTAGGTTTCGCTAAATTGTTCCCTGCACATTGTATAAGCATAAGTGAATTTCATTTCTGGAGCATAACATAAGCATCACAAACCTCACTGTGGGTTGATGTGATAGTAGAAACGCAGTCCAGATTAGATGGCGCAGACAAAGACATGTTTGGAGAGATATAATTCGGCAAATTAAGACGGGCCCTCGAGCCATACATTGATATTGCAACTTCATCATAAGCAAGGGCAGCATCAAGAGCAGTAGAAAATGTACCCAACCAAATTCTGCTGCCCCTGTTTGGCTCCCTAATTTCAGCAACCCATTTACCCCAAGTTCTCTGCCTCACACCTCTGTACTTACAGTTTTGGTTATCTGGACCTCCTTTACCTTTCATACATCCCTTTTTTGATCCTTTGGCTGGAGCTTTACGCATAGAATCGAGGCTAGTATTCTGTTCTTTCCACCTAGCAAGTAAATTTCTTGATGGCATCCTTCCATTCATTGGCTTCTTCATTTCTAGTGGTAGAGATATGCAGTTAAAAAACTGAACATCCGAGCTTGTAACGCTATACCAAAAATGCTGATTATATTATCAGAAAAAGAGGAAAATATATGCAGTATGCAAATTTTAAATGAGTATCCAGTGATCTAAACAATTATGACCAAAATCAATTTGTGATGCAAATGACTTGAGAGTAAATTTTGACATAGCCAATTCAGTAATTCCAAATGCAGTAAGAAAAGCTTTTTCTCTGATAAACAAAAGAAAATCAATATGATTATTAATAGAAAACCACTACTCCAAAAGTGTCTATGGAATTCCTTTCTATGATAAAGCAAAGAAAGGAAAGAGCAAAATGAAAGTCTAATTCTTCTGGTGGCTGGAGTTCCTCAGAAATTAATTCTAAAAAAAACAAAAAAAATACTGATCAAAACTCAAGAAACCTTTCGTGGATAATAGTGGACATCGGGAATAATTCTGGAAGTGATTTGCTGAAGACTTTGTATTGTTGGAAGAGAAGGCGGTCGGTGGGGGAAACAACTGCTTGTACTTTTGTGATTCATTAACGACAAATAACCAAGATTTTTACTCATGGAAGGTTGTATGGCAGTAAAATTTTAACTACTTTTATCCCCTTGTCTCTTCGAGTCCAAGCTCAATTTTGGATATTTTAAATTCAAACACTTATACCATATATATATATATTAGGAACACTCTTAGTGAGTTCTTTTTTTGCCTTTAAAAATAAAGTTTACCTTGAGCAAAATGGTCATTTAATTATTTTTCTAATATTTAAAAATAACCAATAAATCTCTACTATTTAAGAATAGTCATCTAATTATTTCCTAATTAATCATTCCGGTAATATTACAATCTAGAAATAAAATTCGTACACAACATACTAGGAAAACTTTCCATCCAAATTGCACACTAGGAAAGGTTTTCGTTCAACTTCATTTATATTTAGTCTCCTTTAGGTTTCATTGTCAAAACATTTATTGTTCTAGGTTTTTCTTTCTTTGAGCAAAAAGTTTTTCTATTAGTTAAATTTTGCATGCATGTATTTATATTAATAATTGAATGTTGCATTCAATTTGTAAACTTAGTTGCATTCACGTAAAGAGTTTCAGGTCCTCTTTCTTTGAAAAAAAGAATTGTAGTAATAATTGATTTTTGCATAAACTTGTATGTATTAGGAGTTGAATTTTACATTCACATATTTGTAAACTTTATATTAGTAGGGTGAGCACGTAATTTTTTTTTTTGATGAAAATACTACTACAAAAATTCACAAAAATAGATTTTTTCTTATTGTTTTGATTTTATAGAATTTTAGGAATTCCTCTTTAAATTGTTTGTTTGCATTTAGTTGCATATTTAATATTTTAAAATCAAAAAAAAATACCACAAAAATATCTAAATCTTCATTGCATAGCATTTTAGGTTTTTATTTGCATTTAGGATTTAATTACGTTAATTAATAATAAAAAATCACAAAAAATGCATTGGTCATTTTTACATTTTTAGTTTTAGTTTTAATTTGGTAATTTTGTTTCATTAATGTTAAGTTGATTAATTAGTAAAGTAGGTTTAATATTGTTGAAAATTAACTTTAAGTTAGGATTTTAATTAGAAAGAAAAGAAACAAACAAAGGAAAAGGGGAAAAGGTTACTTTTGACTCTAATTCGGACTAGGCTAATTTTCTTGACCCAATTGCCTTAAATTCCCATAATCTGCCCCGGCCCAGTACCATGCCCGACCCGCCTGGCCCAGACCCCCTTTTCATTAAAACACTTTATCCCTAATTCCCAAAATGCAGATACATATATAGCCCTTTAAACAAAAAATCCTAGCCACTCTAATCCTTTCATCTTCTCAAGACAGCCGTCCCTCCCTCTTCTTCCTCAAGAGAAACACATGGAAGTTTCATATTACACTCAAATCACAAGACCATATAGCCAATCCACCACCCAAACACCTCTATTTTCTCCTTAAATAGGTACTACTGTTGCCCCATTTTTAAACCATAAAAACAGCCTAAAAGCCCATACCGTTGCCCGTCCTAGTCCGTCGCCCCACAGACGCAACGCAGAAACACTCTACAATTAAAAAAGATCTAAAAAAATCTTTTAAAAAAAAGTTTCGAACAAAAAAAAAAAGGGAAGTCGGAATTTAAGGGACTAGCTTCGACTTCTTCTGGTTTTTGGTATCGATTCTCTGGGTTTGCTGAGGAGTTTCGTTCTTGTTCCTTTTCTCTGCTGATGTTTGAACTTTAATCCTGTATTTCAGACTTTTATTTGGTCGGTTCCTCCCGATTTCCTATTGTCAGGTGTGTCAGATTCTTGTGTAGTTATCTACCAAATCTATAAAATAAAATTCTGAATTGTTTGGTGTTATATATTGATATGTTCTCGGTTTTGACTGAAACTTTGTCATGGATAAAATTGTTATTGGTTCTTATTTGTTTCAAAATTAATCTTGCGAATCGTGTGCTTCTACCATCACTATCTTGAGTTTTTGATTTAGGCAATAATGAATTATTTGGGTATTTTCAACATAATTATGCCAAAATTGGTCTGTCCTTTTCTAGTAGTTAGTGTTTCACTAAGAGCATTAATTAAGAGTTTGTTATTTGTATAATTTTGTTCAGATGTTGTTTGGATAGATTTTTCTTAAAAGAAAAAATAGACTTAATGGTCTCAATTGCCGAATGAATTTGTTGAGTAAGCATCTTGCCGTTTTGTAATGTTTGCTTTGCAAAACTTCAGTTATCACTTGTGTGTTGAAAAACTGCATATATAGTTTACACCCATGACATGTGTTTTAGCTATGTTAAGCTATTTTGTTCATTGTGCATTCATTTTCTTCTATTCTTATAAGATGGATGTGTTAGCGCCTATTAGGTAATTCCTAAAATATGGATGGCGAAGCTTGAAGGTCAGTCTCTTTGAACTTGTCCAGTTAGTTTCAAATTATTGGGTTTTAAATGGAGAAAGATATGTGTCTTAGGCTGTGATGTAAGAAGTGACGAGGCACTCTTTCCTTTGCTTTGATGGTATAGGACAAATTTTTGGATCGTGAGTTCTTATATTTTGAAAGTTCTCATAGGTATCTACACAGAGTGTATTTTGTTTATGCATTAATTTTGTCCTCTTGTCAAGTTTAAAGTGAAAGTTGATTAAGGTTTTAGTGGTGCTGAATACACAATTGTTGACAGGTCGTAGGGATTTGAATTTGTTAATGAATCAATAGCTAACCCATTTTCTACAAATGACTTCCATAATCTATGGCCTCAAATAATCTCAAACTTAGGAAAGATCAACTTATAAATATGCGCAGAATGCTTTAGGCGCGTTTTTAATCTATTATCGTGATTATGTATACGTTCTCATGACATAATTATGATCCCAAAAAATAAAATCAAGGTACGCATTCGCATGACTTTGGCCAAAAATAATGTTCATAATTAATAAAACGTGATTAATTGTGTACACGTATGCATGATATGATATGATTTTAGCATCCCAAATAAAATGGATTCACGCACAGATGATCCATTTCAAAGATGACTCCATAAAAAGTAAAGGTACTTAGGTTCTAAAAATACTTAATTAAACAATTAATTAAGCTAGGTATGATTAAAAATGATTGTGCTAAAACCACGGAATTCGGGAGTGCCTCGCACCTTCTCCCGGGTTAACAGAATTCCTTACCCGGTTTTCTGTGTTCGCAGACTATAAATAGAGTCAATTTTCTCGATTTAAGATTTTAAAATAAACCTGTGACTTGGAACATCATATAATTATTCCAAGTGACGATTCTGAATTAATAAATAATTCCATTTCAATTAATGTCACTTTAATTGAAAAAATTCCTTATCCCCTCGGGAAAAAAGAGGTGTGACAGCTTTGGCAATTCTGTTGGGGATCAAATCCATAATCTCTAGTTCAAGGTTCAGAATTCAAGCTTGTAATGTAATCTGTACTTGCTTTATTGATTATTGATATTACTGTGTTTGTGGGCCTAATGTGTTAATTGTCGCTTACTTACCGCTTTGATATTATTTGAATTGTATTAAATTGTCTTCTTACGCCTCCTTTCTGAGTCTTCTAAAAATATGATGCACACGTACGCGTGACCCACTTTTCTGTTAGAGGTCATACCAAATAGAACGAGGATGGATCAGCAACTAAGCTGGGTAGACTTTCGTGCTCCCGGTACATTGCCCCCACCTCGACTCAAGTTGTCCGCTTGGATAAGCCATGTCTAACCCCCCCCCGAGGATTTTAAACCTAGAATAACATAGCCTCATACCGGATCCCTAGTAGAAATATTTTTTTGCATCACGTGCATTTGACTTTGACAGGGGTTGGATCCGTCTAGGACAGATGTACCCGAAATAAAAGACCATCCTAATGCATCCTACGTGCTATTTGTGCATTTATTTGTTTCGACTTGTATGTTGATCAGCTAAGAAAAGAAAATCAAATAAAAAACCAACAGTGAAGTATGAGAGAGGAATTTGCCCGGTTCTGAAAACATCGGTATTTGGAAAAGTCCGAAACTCTTGAAAAAAAAATGAAAAGATAAATTAAAAAAAGAGTCATTTCAAATGAGTCAAAATCATATTTTTCCGGTTGTGTCAAAACTGCGCAGGTTTGATTCTCACCGGATGTGAGATACGTAAGCAAACCTCATCGGTTTTGACCCCAATTTTTAAAAGTCCAAAAAAATATTTTTCTTTAATTCCTTCTTTAGAAGTCTTTCCTTAAAAAAATCCCAAATAAAAAAATTTTAAACCCAAAAATATTTTCTTTGTAGAATTCTTTTACTCGAACAAAGAAAACAAATCAAATCAAAATCCAAAAAAAAAATTATCTTTTTTTAGAAGTCTTTTTCCAAAAAATTCAAAAAATAAATAAATTAAAAATCCTAAAAAATATTTTCTTTCTTCTTCAGCAAGAAAATATATTCTTTTTCTAAACGCTTTCATGGTCTGAGTGTTATAAAAAAAGAGTTAGTTTATTTACTTCATTCCTGACTTTCCTGAACTACGTAATGATTTGATTCATGTTGTGAGCACGTGATTTTCGCCATATATGAGAATCACTCCCAAAAATTCAAAATAAAACAATTTTCCTTTGTGTGCAATGTTTGTATTTTTGTGGTATTTTTGTATAATTATTTGTATTTTTGTCTGTGCATGTTTATTTGTTTAAATTAATAAAAATATAAAATATGTCGCATTTTCATTTAGTATTTATTTAAGTTTGTTTTACAAAAATGAGAAAATCATAAAAAAATAATGTACGTTGCATTTTTAGCATTTAACGTCTAAATTGTGCGATTTTATCGTTAATTGCTATTTAAATGTGCGATAATAGTTATTTGGAATTAAT